TTATGCTTGTATATTCAACAACATACATGGTAGCAGAATCAATTTTAGAGGTAAAAAAACCATTGCGTTCCTTTGTCAGCAAATTAACACAATGAACACTGGACAGATTAGGCACAACTACTGCTGCATTATGAAATACATGTTAGCAGTTGATAATAGGATTCTGTTAATTCTATCCTATGTTACGTGGGCACTTCTAATTTGAAGCTGTACCAATACCGGACACGTACCCGTTCCCAAACTCCTTGGACACTCCTTGCGTACATGCCTACATTTATTCGGGCATGTACTCAATTATGCAATAGATGTTTTAACTTAAAACAATTGTCATAAATTTTTGTTGACATATATTCTACGCTTCTCCACTTCTTGAAAGTAGTTGGACATAAATCAGAGTCCGAATTATGAGTTTGAAGGGTCGTTTAGATGTCTAGTTCAAAATCTAGTGATTTTCCAATTTATAATCCACATCATAAAAGAAACATAAAATGTTATAGAAAATTTAATTCTCATTTTTGTTCTCATACAAAATATTAATTCCAATATATAATGTACGTGTATATAAATAGTTATATAGCCGTGTCCCCCTACCCTACCTTTTACAAACTTTCCATGCCCCATACTCGTACCGGTACCGGCGTCTTTGCCCATACCCGTACCCATGCAACATAGATTCTGTCCCATACCTAAAACAAGCAACCGATCAATTTGGAAGATACAAAACACTGAACATTACGATGCTTTGTCAGATAATTTGAAGATTTGTGTTTATGCTCTCCCCCAAAATGAAATCAGATTCATTTCCTTGAGCTATATGGAGTGGGAGAAAAAAAAACCATGGCCTTACAATAAGTTTTTTATCTTTAATCCGTAAATTGGGATTAACTTAGCGGAGGGTATAGTCCTCAATGGAACTGAATGGAAGGGTAGAATTCATGTAACCCACCCCAAAAATTCGGGATAAAGAGTTTTTGGTTAATTAATTAGTATTTATTTTCACTTTCTTTTTGCATCAGTCTAGTCTACGCATTATCAGGAGCCATGACGCACCTAAATATGCTAAAAAAGAGCGTATACTCAACTTAATCTAGTTGGATATGTTCCATTTCGCACTCTTTTGGCTTAATTTTATGCCTTGGTGTAATTGAAAATAACAGTCCCTTATCATTTTCAGACCTTTATCTATTATAGGTAAGTAACCCACACTTTTGTTCAAAACTAATTAGGGTCCATACGTTTTTTGGTTCAGCGTAGCAGTGAGATTTTAAACCTGCAGAAACTCAATTAGAATTCAGAAATTAAGACCAAACTACAATCACCCCTATCAAATTAATCAACAAATCCTTCACAAAAAAAAAACCCATCTCCCAAATGTAATTTCCAACATATAAACTGCAAATTGCTAAAAGAGAAGAAATGGGTTAAGATCAATCACCTGAAGAAATGGAGAAGGATGAAGAAGCCTGCTTCTTTCTCCTGGTGTGGGCCCTAGCTGGTGTGGGCCACAGCGAAGAGATTTAGTACAAAAGAGTAATTAGGGTCGTCCAAAACCAGATCTCTAGTGGTTGGGACCACTTGTTAATATCGTGGCTGAGGAGCTTCCCCATCCTGGATGGCCTGTTTGAATTGAATGGAAGGCAGAGATGGAGAGGAGAAGATAAATCTAATTTTAATTTTAATATTGTTTAGGAGATTTAAGCTAAAATCTTACGCACCAAATTAGGGTGTAATGAAATCCTTCCTTACATTCCCTAACTCATCTCCCAAACACACTCTTAAACAAAAAAGTTTTAAAAATTCTTTCCTTTTTCATTTTTTTTTAAAGAGAGTCGTGCTCCAATGAAATCTTTTAAAATAAGGTCAAACATGTTTTAGCTTTATAATACACATGAGCTGTAAAAAACAATGTGAAAAGGGTAAAATTGGAACAATTCACTACATTAATGGTGGCTGGCAACATTGAAAACTGGAGATAATGATTAAAACCAAAAATACAACACGTCCTTTAATACTCTCTCTTACTATCAACGTGCTACGTCCTTTCACTTCCTCATTTCTCTCTCTAACTCACTTTTACAGCACGTCCTTTAATTCAACACGTCCTTTAATACTCTCTGTAACTCACTTCCATCTTCTATCAAGCTTTGATCTTCCATCTTCGCATGAAGAACACAACAACAATTCATTAAAAACCATCCTAACCATCCAAGCTTTCGCTGGAGTGAATCTGGATTCACTCCATTGAATCTGGATTATATTGAAGCTCGATTCATTAGAGTGAATCCAGATTCACTGAATTGAATCCAGATTCAGTAGACTGAACTCGTTATCAAACAATAGCAAATCTACAAAAATAAAAAACAAAAAGAATAAGACAAGCTATAAAATTTTAAATCATGATAAGATTTCACATTTTACAGCAAAAAGTTACGATTTTTATGGTAAAAAACAAACACCTCACATAACTGAATCTGGATTCACTGCAGTGAATCTAGATTCACTCATGCGTTTATTTCTTCGAACATGCGTTTATTTCTTCGAACTTACAGCACATGCATTTATTTCTTCAACAATTCATTAAAAACCATCCTAACCATCCAAGCTTTCGCTGGAGTGAATCTGGATTCACTCCAGTGAATCCGGATTATATTAAAGAATAAGAAACTTATGGTAAAACCATTGAATCTGGATTATATTGAAGAATAAGAAACTTATGGTAGAAAACAAGCTATAAAATTTTAAACAAAAAGAATAAGAAACTTATGGTAAAAAACAAGCTATAAAATTTTAAACCATGAAAAGATTTCACCTTTTACAGCAAAAAATTACGATTTTTATGGTAAAAAACAAACACCTCACATACTGAATCTGGATTCACTGCAGTGAATCTAGATTCACTCATGCGTATCTTCGTTTTTCAACTGGTTTCTTCAAAAAACAAAAAACTTTTCAGACTAAAAGGTGAAATATTTCACCTTTTACAACAAAAAGCTACGATCTTTAAGGTTAAAACTAAAACTTTTAGACGAAAAATCAAACAAATTTCATAAACTTACCATTAAAGCGTCAAAATAATTTAACAACGACAAAGGTTGAAGACAGTGGTTGAAGATGAAGGTTGAAGACGAAGGTTGAAGAAGACCGTGGATAGGGAGATGTTGAAGACAGAGAGAGAGTTGCTGTGATTTTGGAGAGAGAGGACGTGTTGTATTTTTGGTTTTAATCATTATCTCCAGTTTCCAATGTTTCCAGCCACCATTAATGTAGTGAATTGTTCCAATTTTACCCTTATGCAGCTGTAATAGTCTTATAATCTCAGCCATTGGATGAATCTAGATCCAATGGAGAGGATTGGTTTTTAGTTTTTAGGATAGTGAGGTTTTTATTTGAACCTCTCCCTTTATATATATACATATATTGTACATATATAATATATATATATATTATAGTATATATATAGGGAAAAGTGAATCTAAGGTGACACCCTAGGCTCCCACCTAAGGACGCGGTCTAAAATCACATCATTTCCTAAAAAAATTTTGCGATCCGCTCTGTTGAACTTGATCTACAAGTTCTTTAAACCCAAACACACCAAATTTTGGGGTGAACCCGTCGTGTTTTGAACCCTTTATCCACTCACTGCCAATTTAACGATTTCGAATGAATAGAACTTTTGCACGGCTCAACGAATGGTCAAAACACAACGCGGTTCACCCCAAAATTGATGTGTTTGGGTTTAAGAACGTTAGATCAAGTTCAACGGAGCGGATCGTTAAAAAATTTAGGAAATGATGTGATTCTAGGCCGCCTTAGATGGGAGCCTAGGGTGTCACCTTAGATTCACTTTTTCCCATATATATATATATATATATATATATATATATATATATATATATATATATATATATATATATATTATATAATATATATTATATATAATATATTATTATATCACAGAAGCAGTAATTCCAACATTGCTAATATTTACGTTTAGTTATAATTTAGTCATGAACCAGTCTAGTAAATCTATTAGTATAAAGTAGATTAAAATTAATGCAAGATCGTG